GCCCTGGAAGCAGTGCTCAAAGTGAGGACCAGAGCTCCCCCAAAGTGAACTGCAGCCATTGTCAGCGACAGTAAGGTCCTGGCCTTCGACAGTGAGAATAGCTGAATTCTTCAGGAAAGCCAACATGATAAGCTCCTCCAGGAGAACCAACAGCTCCCTAACAGCTTCCCAACAGCTTTTCTTCTTCCACTCCAATTCTCATTTTTATGTTGTATCAACAATCCTCAGGTGAGTGCCCCACACCCAGCACCATGCTGGTTCAGTTCAGCTGGGTGTTCCAAGTTGACCACCAGTTGTCAATCCACCACATTTTGTGAAAAGAAAAACAGTGAGAAAATAGTTTTATCTAGTTTATCCGCCTAGTGGGGTTCCCTTTTGAGTTAGTGCCTCAGAGATAGTGTAAATTTTTTTTAAACTAGAGAATGGTTTTTATTTTATAGAGATTAAGGAACCTGATGTAGACTCAGGTTTAGAGCCAGGTTGCTGGCCCAGTGTTCATCCCATTGAGGTATTCAGATGTAACAACTAATAACAAGTCCTGTGACAGCACGGAAAAGGGAGAGAGTGAGTTACAATGCTGATGCTCATCTGCAGGACGATCCTGCTGTCTTCCAAGGTGGGATGCGTCTGAGAATGAAAAGAACCAGCTGGGACAGCTGGCTTACACGGGGTGGTGTGGTTACTCCACACCTCTAGCTGAAGGTCATTTTTAACATTTGTCTGCAGAGGCCTGGGCGTGATCGAGATTTAAATGGAGTTTTCTCCTTGGAGTAGAGGAGGGGGGTGTGAGGCAGAATGGATCTGAGTAGGCTTTGTAACTCAAATTAGAGTTACCACTAGTTACCACTAGTAACTAGCAGTTACACTGCTGCTCTGTGATGTTAGCATTTCCTTCTATCTCAATGAAAACTGAATTTTTTTTTTTTAAGGTTTTTGGACATCACAGTACGAGTCATGAGTCATAACTGGACTCTGCAACAATTAACTGTTCAATATATTTATTTAATGTTAGAAAATAATTCCATTGACAAATTAGTGTGATCTGATCAACTTTGATTGTGCTGTGTATTTGTCAGTTAATGCATCAACTCCTTTAGGTTTAAGACTGTTACACATACTCAGGTAGAATGGTAACTTTTCGGCAACTGAGTGTTAGTATTACAGGTATCACCACCACATCTGGTGTGTTAATGCTAATACTGATTCCCTTCTCTCCTGACTTTTTTTTGTCTTTTTGAGACAGGATCTCACCATGCAATTCAGGCTGGCCTTGAGCTCACTTTGTAGTCCAGGCTGGTCTCGAACTGAAAATGATCCTCCTGCCTCAGCCTCCCAAGTGCTGCGATTACCGGCTTGTGCCACCATTCCTGGCCCTACTTCTTACTAGCACCTCTATTCGGAAGGGTTTTTCAGGGAGCCTCTTTCCAGTTTTTTTTTTCCTTTTTTACTTGTATCGAGTTTTTTTTTTTTTTTTAAACTCATAATTTAAAAATTATTTCAGGTTAACTTGCATAACCAGGATGTATCTGTTAAGCTGTTACGGTCTGTAGTCTGGTATTGCTGACCTGATTCAGCCACAAGCCTTGTGGTAAGACATGAGCAGAATGCATTGTGTTTGATGGGGTGAAAGCATTCACATCTTCTACTGAACATGTGGGGAGACAGAGTTACTCTGTACCTGTTGTTTCCTTCACAGAGCTGGTGGTATCTGACAAAGAACCATGCTACCTGGCTAAAACTCCAGGATGGATATTGCCCAAGTCACTTTATAAAAGCCCAACGCTGTCAATCGTACGTAATAGCAATGTGCAAACTAGTAGAGCTAACACTCTTAGATAGACATTCTGGTCCGCTTTAGGTGGCTGTGTTGTAACTAACGCAATAGATGGTTATCAACTTCTGGGGCCTCGGAAGGCAAGTGTGCCAGCACACATAGTACAGTCCTTGTCCCCAGGTTGTTACAGGCACCCACACCTGGCAGGAGGGATGGGGAGGCACTGGGCCAGAATGGAAATTTCTCTCTGCTTTTTATGCTCACCCTCATCCTCATCAAGTTTTTCTCAGCTTCTGCTACTCTGCTGTGCATTTAATCACGAAGTCCCAGCCACAAAAGGGCCTCTTGGCTTGGTGTCTGTGAGTAATGTCCTCACTGGCCCCAGCACCATTCTGGGGACCCTATGGAGGTTGTTATTGTGGTACCTTATGCACTCCAGGGAACTGGAAAAGTGAGAGGCGCTTACATCTGTGTGGTGGGAGGCAGGCAGAAATACTATAGAAATACTGTCAGTTTTTCGATGCTACCTCTCAGAATTCACTCTTGTTTAATTTCTTAAGGCAGCAGTAGATGAGTCAGTTTGAGGTCCAGAACCCTGCCTCCTCCTCTCACCATGAAACAAAAATGATAACAGAGCCAGGCATAGTGGTGCATGCCTGTAATTCTAGCACTTGGGAGGCTGCAGGAGTAGCATAAGCTCAAGCCCAGCCAGGGCAATTCTGGAGAACCTGGCTCAAAATACAAATAAAAGTGCTGGTGATGTAGCTCAGTACAAGAGCTCTGGCTTCAATCTGCAGTACAAAGAGGAAAAAAGATCGTAGCAGTTGTGGTGAACCTATGGCACATGTATTATTTGTTTTTCTTTCAAGACAAAAGATGTTAATGTGTGAGTTTTTTCTAAACTATAACCTCAGTATTGAGTTTAGGGTTGCAGTTTGGGCACTTGTTTCTAAAAAGTTCACCTTCACTGTCATAGAGGAAAAAAATTGGAGGGCATTATTGTCTTAAGATTCTGAGGAAGAATTTATAAAGGTTATTTTATTAGCCATTAAAATTGGCTTGGTGATGGTAAACACGAGACCTTTTTTTTCCTTCCCTGAAGTGCTGGGGACCTAACCCAGGGACCCCTGCATGTTGGCAGGTCGCTGCTGCAGAATATACCCCAAGCCCCCAGAAGGGACTCTTAAATCCTGGTGTTTCAGTTCCTCTTCCCAGCTCAGAGCGCAGTGACTGGAGGGGGACTGTGTCCAGGGTCACCTTGCATTTGGATGTGGCCCTTTGTGACCTCTGTGCTACACTCCAGCTGCTTTCCAGCTTCAGCCAGCACTGATGCTGGCCACTTTCATAACATGCACTTAGGGAATCGTGTTATGTAATTTCATACTACTTTCATTTTTGCAGGTTAAAAAAAATTAGCCCCAGCCTCAAGATTTTAAAAATAATTTTAAACATTGTTCTGTTTACTCATTAAAATAGCTATGATGCAGTGATTATATTTTGTTCTGGCCATTTTTACTTAGGTAAACAGGAGAACTGTTGAATGAGAACTACATTTTCTAGCTTTTTGTTACTAGATCTGTAAACAGTCTTCTTTTTCTTCAGTAATACTTGAGTTTGAAGCAGGCTTACTGACTTATTCTCCAAACCACCTCCCCTTTTTTTAAATTATAGCTAATATTTACCACCACCCCCCCCCCCCGAGACAGGGTCTTGGTAGGCCACGTGGACTGCCCTGGAACTTTGCCTCCTGAATAACTGGGAACACAGGTGCTCGCCAGTTGTTCCCAGCGTCGTAGTTAGACACCAGTAGTGTCTGGCTACTTTTCCAAAATGCAAACATGATCTTCTTTGTCCTTTTGCTTAAAATGTTTTTCACTAGTTTCACTTTGCCTAGAATGGTGCTTTCAAAGTGCACCTGAGCAGGAGAGCTGCTGATAATAGTTAATGTTCACTAAGCACTTAACATGGGACACTCTCAGTTGCTCTGTATGAGTATGTAAGTTTGTGTGTCTGTGTTTGGAGTTTTTTGTTTGTTTATTTTTGGGGTTTTTGTGGATACAGGTCTCAGAGTGTAGTTTAGGCTGGACTTGAACTCACTATGTAGCCCAAGCTGGCCTCAGCTTGCAGTGATCCTCCTGCCTCAGCCTCCCTAGTGCTGAGATTATAGACGTGCACCACCATACCTGGCTCTGGGGTTATATTCCGTAATATTTTTCAATACAAGATTTTAAAATTATTTAGTATTGAGTAAAACTGATGGTCTGAAAATACCTATCATATCTGTCATTTGTGACTTTTTTTATTCCTAGGTATTCATTCCTTATACCAGTAGTTTGAGAAGCACTAGCCCATTGGATCAAGTCTAGCTGTCTTTGTATGACATCAGGGATAAAGGGAGGGCATACTTCTTCATTCAGCTTTTAAAATATTTAGACTGAGGGCTGGGATATAGTTCAGAGGTAGAAGTGCTTGCCTAGTATATGGGCACCCCTGTGCTCAGTCCCCAGTACTGCTAAAAAAAATGAGATGTGATTATAGAAACTGCTGTTGAGTGGCTACCTGAGTCTTTTTCGCAGTTGTACACTCCCTCATCTGCAAGAGGTCTCTTGGTGCCGCTCCTCTTGGCCTTGATGAGTTACTTGTCCTATGGTCTTGCTGTTCTCCCGTATACCTGATGTTTAAATATCCCGTTTCCCCTCCCTGAAATGATTACATGTTTCTGTCTTTTGCCTGGTGTGTTTCTACCCTTGCTTTTGTACAGCTCAAGTAGACCTTCCCCCCAGGAAGCTGACCAGAGGCCCTCTCTGTCAGCTAGGCTACTTCCGGTGCTTCCTTAGCACCTGATTTCTAGCCTATAGCTTAGTGTGTAGTTAATGGTGCAGAGAGCTAGGAGCTTCTTGAGGACATGGGTCTTGTCTGTGTTCACTCAGGTCGAGTACCTGTTGCCTAGTAAGTATCAGTTAATGTTTGTTGAATGAATGAGCAAAGATGGGTTTTTCTAATGATAGTGCTTGGTTGATCTGGCTTTGCTATTGGAATCTATGGGTCTTGTGATTCAGCCTTGCCACTGAGACGCGAGGCAGTGACCTGACCCCTGGTCCCTGGAGTGTGGCTTCTCTGGGTGCAGGGGCACATTACGGCTGCTGCAGGTAGGGGTTCAGATACATGTTAGGGAGAAGTCAGTCATTCTTTTACCTGAGCTTGATACTTAATCTGTTTCTTTCAGGAATTGTTGGACAAGTATTTAATAGCCAATGCAACTAATCCAGAGAGTAAAGTCTTCTACCTGAAAATGAAGGGAGATTACTTCCGATACCTTGCTGAAGTTGCATGCGGTGATGATCGGAAACGTAAGTATGTGTGACTTGCCAGGAAAGCCAGACTATGCACAAGGAGTGGAGATGACCAGGAGCTTACGGTGGCAGTCTTGGTGTATCTTCTGGGCTTGGTGTTGTGCTGTGCTTTTGTTTTTGCTTTTTGGTACTGGTGATGGAACCCAGGACCTCCTAGGCAAGTGTTCTACCACTGACTCTATTCCCAGCCCTTTTATATTTTTGAGACAAGGTCTCACTAAGCTGCTGAGGCCGGTTTGGAACGTGTGATCTTCCTGCTTCAGCCACACAGGTAACTGGGATAACAGGTGTGTGCCACTATGCTGGCCAGGTTCTTTGTAACTTAAACACAGTTGTAGAACTTACATATCAAGAAAATGAAACTGACTTCTTAAAAATTAGTTGTGGATTTGTATTATATACACTTTTAAAATAATATATGAGCTCCAAGTATAATTCCATATTATATTATTAAAAACAGGCTTACTCTTACGTTTTGGGGCTTTGGGATTTTGGTTCACAGTGTTCTTAGCTGCAGAACCTTTTGAGTGATTCTGTATTTTACATGGAAATTTTAGGCTCTTGTCCTTTTTCTGTTGGTCATGTCCATTACTCCTTGTGTTAAGGGGTCACAGCATTGCTGATTATATACAGCCACATTTGTGAGGAGGATTGTTGAGATGAGTGTGTATTGCTAGTGTATAATTTGTTCCAGCTTCACAGTGAGTTTGAATGACCCATACGGTTAGGTTTTACTTGAATACAGAGCGACTGTGTTGACTAGAAAAGAAGTCATCATGAAAATAGATTTGGGAGTATCATCTGGGCCGCTGAGGAAGTGCTTCCCACTGTATCCTTGTCCTGCTCTGGGGCTGCAGCCACCATTGCAGGGTGCCGTGGTGTCTGGGCTCTGTGGTGTCCCTGGCCAGGGCCAGGCAGATCCTGTGCGTCCGTGTGGGCTGCACTGTTCCACCACATCTGCCATGAGAGCCTGGTGGCCAGCATGAGTGGCGGTGTCCTGTCCAACCGGGCACTGCACCTGCTGGACCTCATGAAGATCCACTTTGCAGTGGGCGATGCATTGGATCTGAGACCAAAATATAAAGTGATTCTCTGTGGGTTGGCTACCATTTGGAAACTCGATGGACTGTGAGGACTTTATGAAGGTGTCACCCCAAATGTACGGGGTGCAGGATTTTCCTGGGGATTCTACTTTCTCTTTTACAACGCCACTAAATCATACAACACAGAAGGAAGACCTGAACAGTTAGAGGTCATACAATACTTTACCTCACCTCCTGAAGCTGGAGCCATGACCTTCTGTATTACCAACCCATTACGGGCAACGAAAACTCTCCTGATGTTACAGTATGGTGGTGGTAACAGCCCCACAGCGACAGCATAAAGGAATGTTTGATACACCTGTAAAAATGGATAGGTGTGCAGGTGAGCCTGGGTTGTATAAGGGCTTTGTCCCTGGGCTGTTGGGAATGTCCCACGGTGCCCTTCAGTTCATGGCATATGAGTTGCTACACCTGAAGAACAACCAGCACCTTGAGTGCAGCAGGACACATACCTGTTCTTGCGCTTTCCAAAATAGTTGCAGTGGCAGCCACGTACCTGTGCCTAATGTCAAGGGTCCATCTTCAGGATTAGCACAGGACATGGAGGAAAGAAGACGTTGTAGATTTTACAAAGGAGAAATGCTCCCAATTTGATCAGAATGATTCCAGCCTGCTGTATGACCTTTGTGGTCTATGAAAATGTCTTGCGTTTCCTACTTGACCTTTGAGCAAAGAAAGTAAGGTAAAATAAGATAATACCAGTACCTCTGCCCAAGGCGGTAACAAGCTCCTTTGAGACATAAAACTCATAAATGCTGCACAGCATCATGACTCATAATCAAAGTGGTCTGTGGTGTTAGAAGTTAAGAACTGCTGAGCCTTTGCAGCATTTCTGTGTTCTGCCTTCTCTACCTCTGTGGGCCTCGTTTGGCTCTGCCCATGACAGCTACCCTCCACCTGATGCTAAAACCAGCAGCAAGTTAGTTTCTCATTCATCCTTCAAGCTGAAACTAATTTGCAGCCCTTGTAAGTGGGTTAGAGGAATCTGCTGCTTCTGATCTCATTGCCTGGATTGACTTTAAAATTGACTTTTGTGCAGTAGCAAGCATCTTCTCAGGAGAATGCCAGTGTTCCCCGAGTAATAATCTATAGGGTAAGGTGTCACCCAGACTGGATAGGTGAGAAGAAACCCACTGTAAAAGTGCTTCAGTTGAATTGGAGTGCACTTACCGCAGACATTTGAGAAGTTACGTGCTGTTCTGAGAAACACCTGATATCTGTTGTCACTCCATTGCTAACATCTTTTTAGAAGCACTTCCATACTTTAAAATGTAATCCTGACTTATTTTTTGCCTAAGTATTTAATGTTTACAGTAATAAAATCTGAACTTTTCGGATTTAGCAGTGTTAGCCTTTATTTGGCATATGTAGCTACAAATCACTTACCAGAAATGCTGAGTAGATAGCTTTTACAGATGCTGGAATGTTTGAAATGTGTTTGTTAACTGAATGGAAATGAGAAACTTCTTTAATTTCTGAATTTATGGATCCAGATTCCAAATAAATGATTACCTTACATTGGTTGTTCACATGCACATTGAAATACAAATTACATTAGTGGCTACTGTTGATTTTACTTAAATGAGTCATTATAGATATTTATAAACACAAAGGCCTACCCTAAAAGGATGTCAGTAAGCCAAATGTAGCAGTACACACCTGTAATCTCAGCACTCCGGGAGGCTGCGGCACAAGGGCTTCAAATTCAAGCCCAGCCTAGGAAAATTTAGTGAGACATTGTCCCCTGAAAAAAGGGCTGGGGATTTAGGTCAGTGGGAAGACCCTGAGTTCAGCTCCCAGAACCACCAGCAAGAAGGGCAGAGTAGTACTGGTATCATTCTATTTATCATAAATACCTATCAGTGCTATTTTACTTTCATTTGTTGTAAGTAAAGCATTGGGGTTTTCAAAGCCATACTTAAATGGCTATTTGAAAACATCTATTTTTTATATATTGGAAATGGAATTTAATTAAAAATTAAAATAGATTTGAGTATTAAATACTTAACTTTTTTAAACCATAATCAATTTGCTTAATTTGAATGTGAAAAGGTTTACTGGAGTATTATTGGTATTTGAGTATAATATAAGTCTTGTTCAGTTTTGTGTATCTGCCTGCATCTAAATTTACCACATTCACCAGGGGTGGTGGCGCATGCCTGTTATCCCCAGCACTGGGCAAGCTGAGGCAGGAAGATTGCTGTGAGTTCAAGTCCACCTTGGGCTACAAGTGAGCCCAGGCCAGCCTAAACTGCATGGTGAGACCCTGTCTCCAAAAACAAACAAATTTACCATGTTTTAGTTAGGTAAATATCACTTAACTTCTGATTTTTTTTTTTTTACCAGTAAGTATATTTTTTTGTTGTTAATGTTGACCCACCCAAAAAGGTATACGTCCACCAATAGTTACTATGACTGAATAGTTACTCTCACTGAAATGGAGATACTGTTGTCATCCTGAATATCAGTGTAATTGAAAATATAAAGAGAAAACTGTACCTACTGTAACAAAACCTATATACTAGCTGGCTTGGTAGTGCACTTCTATAACCCTAGCACTTGTGGGGCTGAGACAGGAGGATAACGAGTTTGAGGCCAGTTCAAGGCTGGATAGGTTGGTTTTCTTTGTTGATCAGGGAAATGATAGCTCTCCATCACTGTCACAAAATACCTGCAATAAATAACTTGTAAGGAGAAAAGGGGTTTTTTTTGTCTTTTTGAGACAAGGTCTCGCTATGCAGTTCAGGCTGGCCTTGAGCTCACTTTGTAGCCCAGGCTGGTCTCAAACTCTCAACAGTGCTCCTGCCTCAGCCTCCCAAGTGCTGGGATTATAGGCTTGCACCATCGTGCCTGGTGAGAAAAGGTTTATTTTGGGTCCAGGTGTCACCCTGGCAGAAGTACATGGTAGAGGAGAATCTGTTCACATTTTGGTGCCCCTGAAAGTAGAGAAATAGGAGCTGCCATGGGCTAGTGGCCTGATACAACTGCTTTTTCTTTT